ATTTTTTACGATGAGGGTGGTGAAACACTGGAACAGATTGCCCAGAGAGGTGGTAGATGCCCCATCCTTGAAGACACTCAGGGTCAGGTTGGATGGGGCTTTGAGCAACCTGATCTAGTTGAGGATGTCCCAGCTCATTGCAGGGGCATTGGACTAGATGAACTTTAAACACAAACCGTTCTATAATTCTATGATTCTGTGTCATAAGATCTGCCCAACTTTGTTGGGTTCCCTCTTAGCTACACTGTGACTTTTCTTCTTCTCCATGACAATATGTCACATCTCTATGAAGAAATAAAATTAGCTAGACGTTAACACAGAGAGATGTGTATGACACTGAATAAAGGGTGTTGACTCTAGCAATGCATATTCTGGTTCTAAACTTAAAAAAAACCACTCTACTAATTTACTGCAGGAGAGTATTGTTTTTAAACAGTTACTTTATAACACATGAAATTCCCTGTAACTTGGCAGGTATTGATACTGAATGGAGAAAAACTCAGTGCATGCCACGTGAAGTGTGTGTGGATGTGGGAAAAGAGTTTGGAGCAACTACAAACACCTTCTTTAAACCCCCATGTGTATCCATCTACAGATGTGGAGGTTGCTGCAACAGTGAAGGACTCCAGTGTATGAATATCAGCACAAATTACATCAGCAAGACAGTAAGTTCTCACTCTTATTACAGTCAAAGTGCTCCTTGCAAATCCATTTGTGATCATGCATATTTTAAACCTTTTGTTGCTACTATAAGGAAGGAAAAAAATCAGTTCCAGAATACATAGGAAAAACAGCTGAAGAGACTACTGTCTAGAAGAAGGTGGTTAACGCTCTTTTCCCTCAAATATATTCCTTTTTGGGGGGGGGGGGCGGGGAAGAGAGAAAAATAAGTAGTAAATTATGATGTCCTGTTCTCAGTTTTGAGATTATCTATGAAACTTAATTCTATGCTTTTTCTTGCATCTACCATTTGCCTGCTGTATGAGGCAAGCACTCTCTGGAAAACTATCCTGTAATTTTATTAGTGAAGACTGTTTTAGAACATGGGCAGACAGGATACATGTTGCAAATAAAGCCTTTTAGGAACTGAACTTTACTGTATTAAGTACAGTATTAATGTACCTATTCATTTTATTTTAATGCATCTTTCTCAGGTGTATGTGTGGTTTTGATTCTTCAAGTTCAGGGCTAGTGATCAGGAGTGTGCAGAAATTATGCGTTGAGCCTGTGAGCTGCCTTTGAAGGGAACGCAGGCACGCATTATTCTATTTTAAGTAGCTATTACAATTATCACAATTATCTTACAACATTTCCCTCAAAAATCATGTAAAAATAGTCACACTTCAAAATATCTGCCAGGGTATTTTGCTTTTATTACAGTATTTGGTAGTTTTTTTGTTGGTTGTGTCCTTTTTGCTTTTTACCTCATCTTTCTGATACTTCGAAGAAAACTAATTTTAGCATAAATCTTGCTTCCTTTTTCAACTAGATTCATCTAGCTGAAAATGCAGTACATATTTATAAGGAAGATACACAACTGTATAGCCAAATATAAAATAGTAGCCCATGGAAATGTCATTTCTTTATCATGAAGTTTCTGAGTGCTCTGAGCCTTCTTGAGAGGGTATTAGGAAAAGGGGTCATGAAGAACACAGGAAAAAAAAACAACTCATTGTTTTTTTACTACATTTTCTGTCCTCATTTCTCACCAAATCTGTCTGTCTGAAATGGTATATTCTACCAAGAATTTTCAATCCTAAATTTAAGCTAGTGGTAGACAGCCACACAGCACAGGAATAATGTAACTCAAATAGCTTAAACAAGGAAAACTACAACACTGATTTTGTTCAAGCCCATAGTAATTCCCACAAAAAGCTGTCCTAATTCCAGTTGCTTGAAAGATGCAAATGTAATTTTCATGTTACAAACCAAGAAATATGACCTTTTTTTTTTTTTTTTGGCTTGTATTTGTAAAGTTTAGCTTACTGGAATAAAGGATGATCTAGTTACAGAGAGTTGTTCCATTTAGCACAGATTTCCTCGTCTTTCAGCACCATGTCAGTTTGGGGTAAATAATCCTTTTCTATTCATCTTTCTGTTCATATCTATTGAGTGAAGTAATTTTTTTTTTTTTTTTTTTGCCTAGTAGAAAATGTTTAGTACTGAGTTTCTTTTTTAAGTTCTTGATGTCATTGGTGGTAAGATGGGATAGGATTAGTTAAAAGATTTGAGAGACTCTGAAAAGGAAAATTTTAAAGGACTTCTCAGAAAGAAGAAAGAGGCAATAGCATTGTTTTGTTTTCTTAACTATTCTGTAAAAGCAAGCAATTTAATCTCTGAGTTTTCTGTCTTGCTTCTGCTTTCCAGTTTTATCTGGTCCTTGACAGAATGCAGTTTTTAAAAAAACCTTAATAAAGGAAGAGAGCTATAGCTATATCTCTTCATCTGTCATCATCTCAAATCTTTTTAAAGTTATGTGACCACAGCTTACCCTATATCAGATGAGAATTAGGAAGAAAAAAGTATTGGATTCAAGACCCTTCTGTGGAATTCAGGTACCCTACACACCTATTTCCACTACTGTTTTCCTTTTATTTCCTGAATGAAATGAGGACAAATGGTTAGTAACCAGGCATCTTCTATTTCTTCATAAGTCACCATTTTTGTAGCTTTACTTTTGGTGCATAAACTCCGTAAGATAACTTCATATTGTTCATCCTGCAGAAAAAGTACTTAATGGGAAATTAACTTTTCAGCTGGAGGTCTTACTGTGAGGGCAAGCTCTGGCATTGGTTCCAGACATTAAAATCTAAAGAAAGTTGATATCAGCTTTCATCAAAATTAATTTAAAAGAGCTAAGCATAGAAATTACTTTTATGGGGAGCAAATTGATTGCCAGGAGAATGGACTAGGTCAGATGTTCCCAGACTGGCTTGTGGAACACTGTGGTGGTCCAGAGAGAGGTCAATAGTTCTCTAGTTTGGGCTGTGTTCCTCCTTTCCAGCTACTTAACTTTATTAAGAGAAAAATAGAGAAGTATTCTGCTTTGCTTTTAATACCATTTTTTCCACAAAGACTGTTTCTGTAGTTGCTAAGTGGTGTTTATACAATCATGATTGGGATATGAGACAATTTTTTAATTAAGATGTGGTACAAGGTCTGTGAAAACATTTGAGGACCCCCTAGGCTAAATCATAAAATGCAGTAGATCTTTTTCTTTTGTTTTATCCGTGGCATTGCAATAGCCCAACTTTGTAGGTGGTGGCTTGTCTAATGAAGGTCTGTGTGGAAGGTGATTGGTTGGGTTTTAGTTTTGTGGTGCGGTTGTGTTGGTTTTATCTCTAATTCATTATTATTCAAACATCTGTTCTCTCTTTCCATGACATGAGTAATTCAAAAGCAGTTAAAAGATTGGAACTACCTGGTGCAGCAACAGCCTGTCCCTCAGCTGTACTTTTTTATGCCCCACCTATAGGTACTTGCTTATAGGTTGAAGGGAAGCAGTGAGAAGATGTCAGCCATCTCATTCCATTCTTCCTCTTGCCTGGTGGGATGGACAGTTTTTTGGCTTCTTTCAGATCATTTGATGTAAAGGTCCTAAATCTTCTTGTTTCATGGTTACAGTAATAGTCCCTCAAGGGAAAACGTCTTTCCAAGCAGTTTGAAATTAGATTTAGAGGAACTTTTCTCACAGGAAACAAGTTAAGAGCTTGAAATTGTTTGCCATATTTGAGATGTACATGGTGTTCCTTTACACAATTTGGAGATGCATATGTCACAAGACTTTTCAGTCGTTTTGAGCTTTACCATTTATGCCTTTTCCCATGCATTTTTCTATGTTAAACAGACTGATGATTGTAGTGATATAGTAGGTACTATTAATAGTGGGAGATATATCAGTATAATTTCCAAATGTTTTTTGTTAAAATTTCGGGGGGGGGGGGGGGGGGGGGTTTCAAATATAAAAAGATAGAATAAGGAACCCAAGCATATTAAACAGATATGAAATTAAATGTATTATATCAGATAAGTTACTAATTCTTGTATCACACATAAGCCTTGAAATACTGTGTTTTCAGAAAAGTTAGGTAGTAAAATAAATAATGATGATGTACCATTTTTCAAATAGCTTATTTTCATTCTTTCCAGTATAGAGATGTTTAGAGTTTTGAAAACAGTCTTATATCCCTAGCTTAAAAATCTCTCTAGACACAATGTGCTCTGTTACACTGGTTATATTTGGCCGGCCTTACTGACACTTTAGGAAGTGCAAAGATCACAAGTGATGGAAACTGAGAGTCAATCAATTTAAGGGAAACTTGCCAAAATAAACCACAGTCCATTCAGAAGAACATGGTGTAGTTAATGTAAATCTGGGAAAAAAAAATCATACATAAATCCTATGTTTGAAAAGTATCTAGAATGATAAGCTTCCCTCATCGTGGTACAAAAATAACAGGTTTGATTATTTTATATTTCAGAAGTTAGTGATCATAATAATAATTTTATGTGTGCTGGTACAATGGATATTGGCACATGTGATAATAGTGATGAATAAATTAATTTAGCCACTGAAGCTAAGAAATACTTTGTATAGAAATCAACAGTTTTTCTGGAAAGCATGGCATGAAGTCCTTCTAGTCTAAAGAAGGAGCTATCAATACAGTGGATCAAAAATACATGCCCTTCTAAGGATCAGTGAGGAGGAATATATGGGAAATTTTTTTTTACAGGAATTCTGATAGCGCTTTTGGTCAAGCATTCAGAGATTCCTGTCTGCTGTTAGATTTGTTGTTGTTGTTGTTTGGGGTTTTTTGGGGGTTTGGGTTTTTTTTGGGTTTTGGGTTTTTTTTTTTTGTTAAAGGTTAAAATCCTGCTGAGCTCTAGGTTCTGAACCAGACTCTGGTCCCACCCTTGTTTCTGTTCTCCACGCCGGTTCTATAAATGGCTAAAGGAAGAGCACTGCCAGTGTGGGAACTGAAAAGAGCCTACTACAGGGTGGTCTGTGGGACCACGCAACTCTGGCCTGGAAGCTCTGGCAAGCATGGCTGAAAAAATAACAAGGTTGAGAAGACAGGGGACTGGTGCACTTGGCATCACAGTAATTGCAGGTTGTGGAGTACCAAAGTCCAAGTCTGGTTGGGTGAGCGATTCAGGACACCTTTGCCCAGTGTCCTCTTGCTGTGCTTCTCACCTGAGAAGTACAGTACAGATCATATTCACTGATCTTCAAGGATTTAAAGAACTGAGGTGTAAAAGAATGAAAACCCAGGGAAAAAAAATTGTTTGTAAGTTGCACACATGATTGTAAAAGTTATTATGATTATTCACTTATCTTTGTATTAGTCTGAAAAGTTCTTTAATTATATACCTGTCCGTACTGGGAGGCAGTAAATACAAGCATATGAAGCTGACATTTGGTCTGTAGGATATGCTGCCTTTTAATTTTGGCTGGTGCAGTGGAACAAAGGTTAATTATTAAGCCTAAAATACACCTTATTACAGATTGTGTAATCCAAATGTATGAAGAAAAATGACCTTCCTTCATTTTTTAAGATGAAAGTTTCAAGTTTGGCTAGGTTGAAAGATAGATATAAAGTCATCTTGATAATGGTCAGTGGGAACTACAGAAAATACATATCCTCAAAAAAGGATTAAAAAAAAA